TCTCTGTACATGGTTTCACCGCACATTGTTTGTACGCATGTTTCAATGCAGCCATTCTCCAGCTGGCTGAACTACAATATTTACAGTCGGTGATTTCCTTTGCCTTTGCATTCAGATGGCACCTTCTCCTGCCGCGCACACCACTCCGGAATTGAAAGACAACAACAGCACGACTGCCAGTCTCAGCGTTACCCAGCACTGCTACCAGAGAGCGATGGACGAGTCACACCCTCAGAAGCCCAGTTTTCCGCAAGCAGCACCGCTACCAGCTTCAGCAAGATCAGCGCCTGCCATACAAGCCGCACCTACCCAAGCACATTTTCCTCAAACAACACTGCCAACAGCGTCATTCTTACCAGCACTGCTACCGGCAACCTCCCCTCAACCGAAACAACGCACACCCTCACCAGCACATTCACAACAATCAACCCTGTTTCCAGCCATCATACCTTGAGGACAGCCACCTTCTGCGGTTCCCCCCAACCTGCCACAAGCTTCACGGCGGATCCAAACCATTAGCCACCACATAACAAGACCTTGAATGCCCGAGCATGCGGCGCCTGCCGCCACCACAATCCTCCCCACTTTTCACTTCACACGATATCCACCCACAGTCCAGCACGTATGGCCAAAACCCAAACCACCCACACCCACTCCAACGCCACACTACACAACGATAACACAAGTCGCACCCTCATCAGCACAAGCGCACCAAACCACACCGCTACCAGCGTCAGTCCTACCAGCATTTCCCCACAAACAGCGCTACATAACAAGGGGCGCCTAACACCGGTCACCCCCCGCGGCCCCAAATTGACAACGACAAACCACCGCAGGCACAGATTTCGCCCTCATCAGCGCTACCCAAAACAAGTCACACACCCTCACACGCACACTTTCCACACACAACACCCCTACCAACCTCAGTCAGAGCCGCCTGTTGCCAGCGCAGCACCACTGCCACCAGCAGCGCCATCCAAACAAGCTACACCCTCACAAGCGCATTCTCCACAAGCAACACTGCTACCAGCGTCAGTCACACCAGCACTGCCGCCAGAGAGCGGCGAACAAGTCACACCCTCAGACGGCCAGTTTTTCCGCAAGCAACGCAGCTATTGTTGCACGCTTACAAGAATTTCTCGTCAACTACTAAACTTTTAACTCCTGCATCGAATCGCTGTACATGATTTCACCGCAGATTGTTTGTACGCATGTTTCAATGCGGCCATTCTCCAGCTGGCTGAACTACAATATTTACAGTCGGTGATTTCCTTTGCTTTCAGATGGCAGCTTTTCCTGCCGCACAGACCACTGCCGAACTGCAAGACAACAACAGCACTAATGCCAGTCTCAGTGTTACCCAGCACTGCTACCAGAGAGCGGCGGACAAGTCACACCCTCAGAAGCCCAGTTTTCCGCAAGCAACACAGCTACCAGCGCCAGCTACGATCAGCACCTACAAAACAAGTCGCACCTGCCCAAGCACATTTTCCTCAAACAACACTGCTATCAGCATCAGTCCTACCAGCACTGCTACCGGCAACCTCCCCTCAGAAACAACGCACACCCTCGCCAGTACATTCACAACAGCCAACCCTGTTTCCAGCCATCATACCTTCCGGGATTCACCCCAACCTGCCACAGGCTTCACGGCAGATCCAAACCATTACCCACCGCATAACAAGACCTTGAATGCCCGAGCATGCGGCGCCTGCCGCCGCCACAATCCTCCCCACTTTTTCACTTCAACCTTCACCAGCCAAAAACAAAACCACCCACACCCACTCCAACACCACTCTCCACAACGATCAACCAAGTCGCACCGACACCAGCACAAGCGCAGCGCAACACACCGCTACCAGCGTCAGTCCTACCAGCATTTTTCCCACGAACAGCGCTACGTAACAAGGGGCGCCTAACACCGGGGCTCGGTGGCTCACACCCCGGGGCCTCAAAACTGACAAAGACAAAACACCGCAGGCACAGATTTTGCCCGCACCAGCGCTACCCAAACAAGTCACACCCTCACAAGCATAGATCAACACCCAACACCGCTACCAGCATCAGTTACACCGGGACTGCTCCCACAAGCAGCCCTACTGCTACCAGCAACGACACCCAAACAATCACACCCTCGCAAACTCACTTTCCACCAACAACACTTCTACCAACAACACTCCCACCAGCCTCAGTGAGATCAGCCCTGTTCACAGCGCAGTGCTACTGCTACCAGCAACACCACCTAAACAAGCCACATCCCCACAAATGCATTTTCCACAAACAACCCTGCTACCAGCATCAGTCACACCAGCACTGCCACCGCTGCTATCAGCATCAGTCACGATGATGGGAAGCTCGCCGAGCAAAAACTCAACAAGAGCCACGACCCAACTGGAAGCACGTTGCCAGAGTTCTCCTTGCAAAGACGATGGAAAACTCTCCAAAACCTGTTTTCACGCAGGGGACATGCATTGCAGAGCTCATTGACAGTACACTCAACACTTTTACCAGTTGCGCCGTTTACGGCTTTCTCTGTGTGTGTAAAACCCTGTTTTTCCAGGGGCACTGCTCTCTACTATTTCTCTTTCCTTTCATCATCAATGTGCAGTTTGCAACAGCCGGGGTGAACTACAATATTGATAATTGGTGATTTCCTTTGCGTTCAGATGGCATCTTCTCCTCCTGCCGCACAGACCACTGCCAAACTGCAAGACAACAACAGCACTAATGCCAGTCTCAGTGTTACCCAGCACTGTTACAGACTGTTACCAGAGAACGGCGGACAAGTCACACCCTCAGAAGCCCAGTTTTCCGCAAGCAACACAGCTACCAGCACTGGCTACGATCAGCGCCTGCCAAAACAAGCCGCGCCTACCTTCCTCAAACAACACTGCTATCAGCGTCAGTCCTACCAGCGCTGCTACCGGCAACCTCCCCTCAACCACATTCACAACAGCCAACCCTGTTTCCAGCCATCATACCCACCCACTCCAACACCACTCTCCACAATGATCAAACACGTCGCACCCCCACCAACCAGCACAAGCGCAGCAAAAAACACCGCTGCCAGCATCAGTCTTACCAGAACTTTTCCCACAAACAGCGCTACATAACAAGGGGCACCTAACACCGGGGCTCGGTGGCTCACACCCCGGGGCCTCAAAATTGACAAAGACAAAACACCGCAGGCACAGATTTTGCCCGCACCAGCGCTACCCAAACAAGTCACACCCTCACAAGCGTAAATCATCACGTGCTGCTCCCACAAGCCGCCCTACTGCTACCAGCAACGACACCCAAACAATCACACCCTCACAAGCACACTTTCCACCAACAACGCTTCCACCAACAACACTCCCACCAGCCTCAGTCAGACCAGCCCTGTTCACAGCGCAGTGCCACTGCTACCAGCAGCACCACCTAAACAAGCCACATCCTCACAACTTTTTCGACAAACAGCACTGCTATCAGCATCAGTCACACCAGCACTGCCTCTGCTGCTATCAGCATCAGTCATACGAGCGATGACGAGAAGCTCACCGAGCAAAAACTCAACAAGAAGCCACGGCCCAACTGGAAGCACGTTGCCAGAGTTCTCCACAAAACAGAGGTCGCTTGCAAAAACGATGGAAAACTCTCCAAAACCTGTTTTCACGCAGGGGACATGCATTGCAGAGCTCATTGACAGTACACTCAACACTTTTACCAGTTGCGCCGTTTACGGCTTTCTCTCTGTGTGTGTAAAACCCCGTTTCCAGGCGGGCCAGGACTCCCTGGCGCGCGTCCTGGCCAACGAAGACCCAGCGGCAGGGAGGTGAAAACGTACCTGCTATTGTTAAACTGTTGATTGGCTGCTGTGGTCCCTTGGTTTGTTTCATGGTGGTTCATGTACCTGATGTTGTTCCAGGAGGTGTTTAGGTTTTCAGGTACTTCATAAAGGGCTAATGCCTGCAAACCCTGTGACTAAGTGTGTGAAACCGTTGGAGTCAAAGGGAACCTTTTGTTGTTTTCAGCAGGGGGTGGCAGCAGGAACGAGAGTCTGCCACCAACGAAGACCCTCTCGCTTTCCTGGTGATACCGGGACCGATCATCCCAGCGTACCCGCGTTGTACCTTTCACTTCCTATTGGGCCCTGGCTTTAACTACTACAAGATCGCCAGCCTCTTCATCTGTTTTGAACTCTGCAGACAAGTGCTCGTCGCTCGAATCCTCGTCGACTTCTTTGAGTTCATGCCTTTGGAGTTTGAGGACTTTCGAGGTAAATGGTCAAACGGTCTTACATCTTCTACCCTGACTTCTTGGGTTGTTTACTTAGGAGGGCGTGTGGCAAATGGCTTTCAATTCGGTGCGAATTATCCCGGGTGTGTTTGTTGTCATGGTTGCTCTTTCTATTGGTCCTCCGGACACGCAGAGAACTGTAGATATTGCCTTTGCCCCAGCGGCCACTTATGCCTCCCCTGCCAACGACTGTGCTTGCTTGAGCTTCGCTGAACTTCCATTTCTAAGTCAGGAAACATTCTTGGCAGGCTGAACCATCTCACTTTCGATACCTCTTTGGAGTGTTGCGCGCCTGTGTTTAGAGTCCTGGACAATATATATATATATATATGCACAATATGAATATATATATATATACATATATTGGGTTTCAACCAGGGATGATACCGCACCGCGCTCTACTATTCAGGGATCGCTTCAAAAGAAGGATAAAGATGCATGAAGACCCGCAATCTTGTGGTAGAGAGTCAGTGAAGATGAAACCATCAGTTTCGGTCAACTTCCTTGAAATACCAAATAATCAGGTGAGCCGCAGTACAAAACAAAAGGACCTTCCTCCAAGCCTCCAAGGTTTTGTTTTCCATCCAAGGCCATCGCTAGTAGGTTGGAGTAAAGTCTAATTTTTTGCAGTTTGTTTTAATTTAATTAATATCCAAGGTTTGTTGCTCACATCATTTTTTTCGATGTACTGTATGCAGACTGATTCCACAACGACTGGTAAGGATTTGAAAGGCATTGAGATTGCAGACGCGCCAGAGAACACGGCCAATTTGATTGTTAGGCTTGGGGGTCCATGGCCGTCCTTTGAAAGGATGTAAAAGAGCAATTTGTTTTGGTGTGTTTTGATGTGTTCTGAATTGTTTGCACGTGTTTTCTACGGATAATTTTTTTGGGCACCAAAACCGTTCTTGAGACAGCAAATTGTGCAAGTTGCCGGAAGCATTCCCATGCAAGGCCAGAGGTCAGAGCAGCAATGAGTGGATGGTGTGCTCCAGGTATATCAGGATTTCAAGGAAGCCACACAACGATTCTGGGCCAAAATCATTATATACAGTAGTGATTTCATGCTCGGAGTCTTCAAGAAGATTGAGCAACCCATGCCAAAAAGAACATTGGCTGATATGACACCAATCTTTTGAAGGCCATGTTATCCTTCAATCGACCGACCGAGACATCTCTGAGGATCAGGTCTTCGGAATTCGTGGCGCCCGGCGAAGCCATCATCGAAAGCAAGACCTCGTCATGGCTCATGCACCTTTGTGCTGTCCTCTTTGGCGAGATGTCCGGAAAAAAATTGAGCCTGGGCAGAGATGAAGGATGAAAGTGGATGAAAGGCTCGACATGGCATGACGCCACTCTTTCAACAGGGGCGGACCTGTGGGACGACCTTTTTCTGACCTTTGTGTCCAGTCTTTTTTCCTGTCCATTTGGATAAGGCCCGCTTGCAAGATGCTGGCCTTTTCGGTGACTTAAGTAGACACGGCACAGGAGCTTCTTTTGGGGGTACGAGACCTGCTCCATGTATCCCCATTTTTTTGTCCAAAGACCGTTTTTTTCCTCTCTAAGGAGTCATTTCTTTCACGATCCACAAGTTCCGGTTGTGTTGCACCAAAAGATCCGCCGCAACTACCCCTCAGAGGGTGACAGTGCCGTTGCAATTTGGGAAGAAGGCGGGCACGGGCTGTGTACATGATAAAACAACGCAATCCTCTACATAGCAAAGGAACAGGATTTACAAAAGGAAGAACAAGACAGTACATGATAAAACAAAAGTTACAATCCTGAGTAGGTCCGTAGTAGGTCCCCTAGTCCACCGTCGTAGGTGCCCTAGTCCATTGGTCCACTGGTCCTTTCGTCTCCTCCCCCGATCCTTTGGTCCCGGTCCCCTGGTCCTTTTCCTGGTCCGCTGGCCTCATGGTCCATTGGTCACCATGCGGCTTGCGAACTTCATAATGTGTGCAAATTTGGTGCGAACTCTGACTCTGCAAAACAAAAAGGCCTCCCCAGTTGCCTTTGGTCCTTGTGTCACCTTCAGAAGGTGCCCTTGATTGATGTTGCACTGGGGTGCGTAGCTTTCGATGATTGGTTGATATTGCTGATTCTGTGGCACCTTCTGAGTCTGCTGACTTGATTTTTGGTTCGCTCTGGTGGGGAGGCGCTGCGCCCTCCCCCCACGAAGTCTGCACTACTTTTGCCCACGCCTTGCGCCTACCACGACAGATTTTCACGGTGACCATGGCATCTCCACAAGAAGCTACTAGGGGCTCCTGGCCTTACTACTAGGAACAAGAAGCTACTAGGGGCTCCTGGCATCGCTAGGAGCAAGGACGCTACTACTTGTAGGGGCTTCTGGCCTTACTATATACTAGGACAGCTTCTTGTTAAAATATTGCATGTCCTCGCCTAAGTCTTTTGGCTATGCAAGCATCCTTTCATTGTCCCCTGGTGGATGATAGGGCCCACCGTTGCTGTGTCCAACATTTCTATCCTTCCATTCTCTTTTGCTTTCTTTGTGTTTGAGTGTCCTTTGTCGCCCTGCTGTAGTCTCTTTTTCCTTTCGTGCTCGCTGTAAACATTTGTTTGCTCCTTGTCTTTGTTCTTTTTGATCCCCGTCGAATTGAATAGTCTTAATTGAAAGCTAATTCTTATTTAATTAATTTGATCCTTCACCCGATTAAAGGCAAGAAAGCAGCTGTAAATGTCAGGTCTTCTCAAGTCAACAGGAATTAGAGGCTTCAGGGTAGACGCTTGACCGACCCCGGCAAGACCGCCAGGTGGCGAAGTGCAAGAAGGTTTTCTCCTCATCCGGCCAGATAGAGAGAAGGGCAAATTCAACGTGATGTTCGTCATGCGGATCCTACAGGGGAAGTTTGCTCCATGGGCCACCTTTCAGTGCCCCGGCCAAAGGCCTTTGCATGCCTGTTCCAGTTCCATGAAACGTAAAACATCTTGAGTATTTTGCAAGCAAGAGGTGTTTGACCCCATTATACACCCAGCGGTATATTCACACATTGTGACGAATCGCTTGGGATCCTTCTTGAAGGATCTTCCTTTGAGGATCCCGGAATGATGAGAATCTGCTCCATTCACGTTTTGTTTGGTATTGTTTGCATTCCCAACATAAAAGATATTTGAGATTTGGGAAACATGACCAAGAGTTTTTTCTGGACGCATGTAGAGGCTCGTCGAGCGGCATCTCAATTTTAATTTGGCTCAAGCATCAATGAGCACGGTGACACGGAGCCTGGTTGCCATTTCAACCTCGGCTTTTGGCGGACATTTGATCCGGTTGTGGATCAGGACTGGCGTGAAGGCTGCGGTCGGTGGATCTCTGGAGGGTGTTGGATCGGCGCTTTGGGAGCCTTTGGTTCATTGCATCAAAGCCACTTGGGAAGGTGTTTACTATTTCCTTTGTGTGCTGGTGATTTTTGAGCTAAGATCGGAGATCTGGTCGTTGGTTTCTATTGTGTGGCGTGTGTTCCGTTGCTTGATCCAAGTTACTGACCGAAAGGCCCAATTTTTGGACACCCCTGAAACAGAAGAAGAGCCATCAACAGGCATAGAAACAGAGCACTTGTGGCTAACCTGTCAACCCCTGTACATGGAAGGCTTTTTTCTTTCAGAGCGCAGCGGGGAGTGGGACGAGATTTGGGTGGCCGGTCTAGTACCGGATTCTGGAGAGCTCATTGCACGCAGCACCAACGAGGACGGTTCTGACTGGATCTGGTCGTTGATTCGTTGTGAAGCGGGCTCATTGCGCCCACCAGTGGGTGCAGGAGCACAGCGGGCAGCACCTCCGGGTATTGCTCCAGCAACAGTCAACTGGATATGTTCGCCAGAACATGTGGATCAGCGTTGGGTTCCAACAGTGGCAGAGGCAGCAGCGTTGAAGCAAGAGGCGGCAGTTTTGGGCTTGCATGTGAAGAGAATTGGGGTCCAAGACGGTCAAGTCACAATCCCAGGAAGGGGCATGAGCTTGATTCCATTCACCGCCGCTCCCATCGCAGGCGGGGCTTCGGCAGCGGCGCCGCGAGGGGCTGTCGGGGCGCTCGGGCCGGTGCCGGCCCCAGAGGCAGATGGAGGAGCTTTCAACTTGCAAAGCCTATCGGATGTCATCCAGGAGCTCAAGGACATGGCCAGGAAGAAAGAAGGTCAGAGCAAAGAGAAGTCCAAGAAGAAGAAACGATCCAGAAAGAAGTCCAAGGACAAGAAGAAGAAAAAGAAGAGGAAAGACAGTTCCAGCGGCTCGTCCACGAGTCGATCACGAAGCAGTGCATCCAGCCGCAGCTCAAGTCAGAGCTCTTCGGGGCCCTTGCTGTGGAAGCCCAAAGGCAAGGACCGCGAGGTCAGTTACAAGAAGGTGCATGCAGTGGACTCGGAGAAGTTCAAGCGCAAGGGAGAGTTGCTGGCGTATGCAAGCCGCCATCCGGGGGCCCTGTCAGGACATTTTCTGGCATCGATCTACGCTCGTCTTTCGAAAGGAAAGGTGGAACGCAGCAGTCAGCTGCGGGAGGCCAGTGTGGTCTCATGGGCCGCTCAACACAGCGGTCTGACAGAAGTGAGAGATGTGAGGGAGGTCTTGACCCTAGCCGAGGCCATGGATGCAGTCAATCGAAAGGAAATTGCCAGAGCAATGGACATCCTTGCACAGCGCATCCTGGCAATCCAGCAGGCGAAGAGGAAAGGAGGGTCTTGGGAAAAAGCCGAATCGATCGAACTGATTCCCAGTGGAACCAGCCTGGCCTCATCGTCGATGCTGGCTCTCACCAATTGAGTCGCCGGTTCAGGAAAGCGCTGCACCGCTGGAGAAGTCACAATGGTGAGCCGTCTTCGGGGTTGCAGTATTTTTGCATGATCTTTTCTGGGTTGGAGCAGGTCTTTGCGCATCACAACACATTGATGAGCTATGGGGTTCATTTGTGGAGGATTGGCAAGGGCCAGGGACAGCTTCGGAGGAGACACGAATTCAATAGAGTTTTTCTGACACAGTCAGGTGATGGATGCAGTATGCCGCATGTCTTTCCTTTGCCCCCTTTTGTTCAGAATGGTCGGGTGATGGAGTACAGAATGGGCACCCTGGATTCGGATGAAGAGTTCGGTGTTGCTCATGGCGTGAATCTCATTCAGGCCGCCTTGAATATGCTGCATGGGAGCTTGGACGTTGAATTCAAGTTTGTCTCAGCTGCCCACTCACGCATCCAGGCCCGGTTGGGGTCAGGGCTCAAAGACATGATGATGGATTTTGAGCTCATGAGTCTTGATGAGATTCGTCAGTTTTTGAAGCACAACCAGCACTATACTGGAGGGGGAATAGCCATTCCACTAGGTAGTCGGGGGGGAGTGCCAACCTCGGCTGCAACAGTCAATTTATCTGAGGAGCTTGAAAAGGACTTTCCGCTATATGCTGAACAGGTCCGGGAGCCGAAGCTGCTTCTTCTTCCATCGAGGCTGAGGCCTATCCGGATCAAGCGCGGACACACTTGGGTGAATTCTTCTTATCCTGACTTAGTCCGTAAGAATGTTAAAGCTGGATTGCATGTCTTGAAGAAGGAGAAACAGGTAGCTAAGCACAGAGGTAGCCTATGCCTAGCTGGAGCATTTGCCGTGCCTAAGGACGAGACAGAGGACAGGGTAATCACTGATCCTAGTGTGAATCAGCTGTTGGACCCACAGAAGCTTCCCCGGCCCCGTTTTGCCTATATCCCGAAGTTGCGGGTAACCCTGGTACCTCGCACAGGGAGGCTGCTGGTGTCGAAGAGAGACGCTCGCCACTATTTTCACTCGTTGAGGATTGGGCGCAAGTGGCAACGATGGCTATGTGTGCCACCTATAGCGGACTTCGGCAGGGGTCTGAGGTATCCGGCTTCATGCACAGCACCTGTGGGGTTTGGTCCTAGCGCAGGTTGGGCACAGGCATTGACAGACGTCGCAACTAACCAGGCTGACCTACCTAGTGACTGTAGACTACATCCAGATGCGTTTGCGCCCACGTCATTGCCTATTTGGGGATCCATATGCGATGATATTTGGGCGCTTGAGCATACTGAGGCGGAGACGAAGGCGGCCTTCTGCGGACCTACTTGGCTCTCGCGGGCGGAGCAGGCTTGGGTAGATCGTGGAGTACACCCAAACCATAAGAAGGCAATTGATGCAAGTCCAGGGGAAGAGTTACAAGGTTACTATGTTGATCCAGATTTGCATTGGGTTGGGGTTAGTTTGACGAAATGTAGGGCTCTTTTCCAAGCAGTTTGGCATGTGCTGACTTCACCATCGGTCGTTGTTGGCGACATTGAGCGACTGGTTGGAAAGTTTGGGTTCGTGCACTCGAGTCGACCGGTGATGCGTTCAATCTTTGTGGAGGTTTATGGCTGGCTTGATGATCTACGGGGTCGCAAGGTGCGTGTCACAACCTTGCCGGATGTCATTTGGTGCGAGTTGATGACAGCCGCATTGTTGTTGCCCTATGCGCAGTTCAACTTGTCAGCGCCGTTTAGCCAGAGAGTTGAATGCAGTGATGCCTCAATGTCAGGCATCGGGCGAGCATGGGCCACCATGCCAAGCGATCTAGTGCAGCGAATGGCTCAGCTCTGTGACCACCCAGGGACATACACGAATTTGAATCTCCCCTTTGGGTTAGCCTTGAACGAAGAAGACAAGTGTCCACTGCGTAAGTTGAAACTGCCCCGCAACCTCTTCCATTGGCACACGGCGGGTGCACGCTGGAGGCCATCGTACATTTTTTTGGGAGAAGCTGACGCGGCAGTGTGGGTGGCAGAATGCAGGCTGAGGCGCGCGTGTGATGATGAACATCGTTTTGTACATCCGCTTGATAGTGCTTCTTGTGTTGGGGCTTTTATGAAGGGGCGGTCTTCCAGTCGGCTTTTGAACCATCGGTGTCAGAAGCTGTGCGCAATCGGAATAGCAGGGGGCCATGAGACTTTTTATCCTTGGATTCCGTCAGGTGACAATCCGGCTGACAAGCCCTCTCGTCTCTTCGAAGGCGAGCGCAAGGGCAACTCAGAGTCGCCAGTTCAACCCGAGGCGTTTGAAGAAGTTTTCCTTGACCCTTTTGGACTCTCCCGGACATTACCATCATGGTCGGGCAACGAGCGTTTTTTTTTTGCATTTGTGTTCAGGAACGCGACGAGATGATGACCTGGTGAGCTGGGTTGAGCGCCTTAGTCAGGAACACGGCCTGCACATCTACGGGTTGCGCGTCGATCCATTGTCTCCTATGAGTCAACATGATCTTGGATTCACTTGCAATGACTTACTAGATGGGCATAGCATGTTACACATTTTACAGCTAGTACAGTCAGGACGTGTTGCAGGCCTCTTTGTTTCACCACCTTGCTCTACTTTTTCAGCAGTGCGGCACAAACCTTTGCATAGACAGTCAGGTGCACAAGTCGGGCCACGGCCCCTGAGGGCCCGATCGAACCCTTGGTCTTGTCTTCCGAATCGGACTTCAAGAGAAAACCACTCAGTCGACTTTGGCACGGCGTTAGCACTCATTTGCATCGGTATGTTGGGAGAGGCTAGAATTTTTGGGGCATGGGTTGGAGGCGAGCATCCGGCTGATCGTGGTTGTGAACCATACCCATCAATTTTTTGCTCAACAGAAATCCAACAGCTGTGCAGCATGGTTCGTCTTTGCATTTATGTCATTGATCAATGCATGTTTGGAGCAAAAACAAGGAAGCCGACTGGTTTAGTGTTGCCTTATGGGAATGATGAGTTTGTACGCACGTGTAATCACACCCAAGGTCACACACAACTGTTTGGTTGGGATTCGGCGGGGCAATGTTTTAGAACCACAGCGGCTACAGCATATCCCTCCGGACTGAGCCAAGCGCTGGCCAGCTTGTTTGTTACACGTATTCTTGCTTCGAAGAGTCACGGGTATGAACAACCATATGCACCCATGCAGGTTCATTCTGATTCTTTTGGCAGGGATCCTTGGTTTAGCAAGCAGCGCACGGCTTGGACTTGGCCGGCACCGAGTCGAAGCTTTCTTGCTGAAGTCATTGCGAGATGCCACCAGAGAAAAATACCAACAAGCAATTCAGCTCCTCAATCGTGAGATCTTGCAGACGCAAACCGATTGGGCCTCTCTTACTGAGGCAGAGCAGGATTTGTTTTTAGCTGAGTGGCTAGTTGATGGTTATGAACAAGGCAGTGGGCGCACCGAATATGGCTATGTTCTGTCTGCTTTGGGCAGAATGAATCCTCGTGTCCGGTACAAAACTGCCTGGCGTGTGTTTGAAGTGTGGGGTAGCTTGCAACCACCACAGCAGGCACCGGCAGCCCCCCCAGAACTGCTTACAGCGATGATGGTGGCTGCATTTGCACTCAACCGCGCTCCGTTGGGCATTCTCATTTGCATTTGTTTCTCAGGCTTGTTACGGGTTGGGGAGGCACTGCAATTGCGATGGTCTGACATTTTCTTTGCTGCCGGCAATGTCACACTTTGTTTGGGGCAAACCAAAGGCGGCATGGAACAAAAAGTCGTTATTAGCAATGGCACAGTGTTTGAATGGTTGGGTCGCTTTGGGGCACAGCACGGGGCTTGTGCCACAGATACCAAAGTGTTTGATATGTCATACTCTTCTGTTTTGCGCTGGGTCAAGAAACTGGCCCTTTTGCTGGCTGGAGAAGAGATCAAACTGACCACCCATTCATTCAGAAGATCAGGGGCTAGTGAACTTTGCCGCCAAGGCGTGGCGATTGCTGACATTTGCCTTTTTGGTCGATGGTTATCAGACAGATCAGCCAGGGAATATATACGCAAAGGAGAGGTTGCCATTTTGCGTTCTCGTACAATGGTGTCGGAGTCTGTGCGCGCCAACTGGCACCGCTGGTGTCGCTTGGCACCTAAAGTCTGGCTTCTAAACAGTTTCTTTCACCAGGCCAATTTAGACCATGTGTCCCACTCACGTGTCACCGAAACCTCATTTCGACGGCTTGAAAATTTGTTATTTGAGCATTTTGGACTGTCGTAAACCCTTTCGGGGCAGAGGAGAGTTGGGGAGAGACTTAGTGAAGCAAGCGCGCGG